GTTTTAATGGATCCGGGTTTTGACACAACAGTAACAATACTATTTTTATATTTTAGTGCACACAATTCCTTTGTATAAGCATGTCCCCCCTTTGATCATGTAACTTAGGGCTAATCAAAGAAAATACCAAGTTTTTAGATTTACCTATGTGGTAGAGACTGAACTGAGAATTACAGAATCTTGAATTCATTTTGACTCATTAACCAAATAACTGTATAATAGAAATAACTATATAGTTTCTAGGCCCTCAGTTTCCATAGCTATAAAAATGATTTAGCTGAGCTCTTTGAGATCTAAGTTCCTATTTTAATTTTATATCACAAATCTGAATATGCCGAGGGCAGTAGCAGAATCCATAAAAAGCCAAATGATAGCCTCCTCCTGGGAGTAAATATTTTTTAACATATGAAAAGCTATTAATGAGATTATGAACTGTAAGAAAGAATTGAGTATCTGATTGGGAAAATTCTCAAAAGACACGAATGCAGAATTAACAAAAAAAATGAACATTGTCAATAAACAGAAAAATATTCATCCTTCTTAGGAATCAAAACATGCAAATTGAATAAAAAGTAAGGTATTTTATCATAGTAGTGAAGGTTTTAAAAAAATTAATGTTAGTAGCCCGTGTGGGTAAGGATGTGGGTAAATTCTTGTATACTGCCAGTGAGAATGTAAATTGATATTAATCTTTTTGATGGGAAGTCTAAAAATTGTGATGCAAATCTATATTTATTGATAGGGAACCATGCCTGAAATATATTAAGTGAAAACTGTATGCATAAACTTGTTGAGGAAGAAGTAAGAATGCCGTCTATTATATGTATTTGTAAATGTGTTTGTACACTAGAGAAAACTGGAATGCTAGACTCAAATTTTAATGATTATTTCTAATTGGTGGTTTTATGGATGGCTTCTCCATCTTCCCTTCTACCTTTGTATATAGACTAAAGTTTTTTAGTGAATTTTACTTCTATCAGTTTTAGGTTTTTTTTTTTTTTTTAAAGATTTTATTTATTTATTCATGAGAATACACAGGAGAGAGAGGCAGAGACACAGGCAGAGGGAGAAGTAGGCTCCAAGCAGGGAGCCTGATGTGGGACTCAATTCTGGGACTCCAGGATCACGCCCTAGGCTGAAGGCAGCGCTAAACCGCTGAGCCACCCGGGCTGCCCAGTTTTAGTTTTTTAATAGAAAAATATTGTTAAAATTAAGTTTAAGACTGTACATTAAAAAGTAAATCCCCTTTTCATACCAATCTCTCCAGTCTCCCATTTCTCTTCCTCAAGGCTACCACTGTTGCTGATATATGTATTCTTCCAGAGACATTCTATGCTGTTGCAAACTTTTTTTTTCTTCTTCTTAAGATTTATTTGAGAGAAAGAGAGAAGGTGCTAGCAAGGGAAGGGGCAGAGGGAGAGGGAGAAGCCAACTCCCCACTGAGCATGGAGACTGACATGGGGCTGAATCTCAGGACCTGAGCTGAATCAAGACTGGGAACCTCAAATGACTGAGCCACTGGGGACCCCACGAACTTTTTTATTTTAAAACACAAATGGTAGCGTAGCTTACGGGGGTTTTTTAGCCCTTGTTTTATAACGCATGTTGAGTACTCATAGACCTGCCTCATTCTTTTGAAACAAAAATAAATAACCTTATACATGTTTATTTATGCATATATGCAGTTATATCACTGAGATAAATTCCTAGAAGTGGAATTACTAGTTCAAAAGAGAAGTGCATTTAAAATTGTTCAGCATGTATAGTATATAGTGTTATAAATAAAGGAAAATCACAACTCTGTTTCTCTTTCTCTCATACTCTGTATTCAGTCAATCAGCAAGAATGCTGTTGACTCTACTTCAAAATATATTGTCTGACCACTTTTACCACCTTAATTTTTCTACCACTCAGTGTTCAAGCCACCTTGTCTCCTCAGGATTACACTTGCGTAACCTCCTGCTGGTCTCCCTGCTTCAACTCCTGATCCTTCAACATAGGAACAAGAGTAATCCTTTCAAAACAGAAATTACATCAACCCTCTGCTCCAAACCCTATCATAGCAAAAGCCAAAGTCCTCACACCTCCCCCTCTCCCCAACAATCTTTCTGACCTTGGCGATCACTTTTTCTTTTTGTTCACACTGCCCGAGCTAGTCTAGCCTCATTGCTGTATCTTGACTATACCAGTCATGCTTCCACTTCAGGGCCTTTTGTAGTTGCAATTCCTTATGCCTGAAATATCCTGCTTCACTCCCTTGGTTCCTTCAGGTCCTTCTCAACTATCATCTTATTGGAGACCACCCTGTGTTTCAAATAATAATCTTCCACCCTCTCCAAATCCTTGTATTCCTTTTGCCCTGTTCTTTTTTTTTTTTTTTTTTAATTATACTCCATTGCACTTAACCACCATCTTAATATTTTGTGCTGACTTCTACCCACTTGTGGCTATTGACCTTTCGAAAGCTGGTCTAACCAAGGAACTAAATTTTTAATTATATTTAACTTTAAATTTAAACCTAAAAACTGATAGTTCAGTTCCTAGAAAACTTTTAAGTATATTTGAACAACTTGGATATGTGAATCTGCTTTTTCAACTGTAAATTTTATGAAATCTAAATTCAGATCCAGTATTTCCAGTGAAAATTTAGCATCCAAATTGAGATGTGCTGTAGGTGTAAAATACACACTGGATTTCAAAGACTTAGTAAGAAAAAGAAATGTAACATCTCTTACTAGTTTTTTAAATCAGTTACATGTTTAAATTATAATATTTTAGATATTTGGGCTCAATAAAATATATTATTCAAAGTAGTTTCACCTGTTCCTTCTTTTTAAAATGTAGCTACTAGAAATTTTTTTGCATGAATCATGTTATATTTCTATTGAACAGTGTTGCTCTGTTTACTTATGGAGTTGTTTACTGTGTATCTCTCTACTAAATGTGAGCTCTGTGTGGGCAGGAGTTTAGTCTGTTCTGATCCATACTCAATCAGTAGGTATCCAATAAATCTCATAGAATAAATGAATAAATTTGAATGAATTTCTCCCTTTTTAAAAAAAGCTACTGTGAATTAAAATGAAAACTAAAATTTATATGCATATCCTGGAACCTAAACAAAAATTTATTAATATATATATAGAATGCTTTTAAATAAACAAGAACCAAATAAAAAAGGACCAAAGTTATGCACAGACACAAGTAGAACTCCAGATGGTTAATAAATAAACAAAATTATAATTTCATTCAAATTTTCAATAAATCCAAATTAGAATAAGCTGTCCTTTGCCTAAGAAATTGAACGAAAAGAAGAGCTATACATACCTTTCTGGAAGATAGTATTGGAGTCTGTATAACTAATCTTAAATTATGAATATTCTTTGACACAATCTTTCCATATCCAGGAATTTATTTTTACTTATTTATTTTAAAAGGATTTTATTTAGAGCTGGGGGAGGGGCAGAGGGAGAGAGAAAATCTCAAGCAGGCTCCATGTCCAGTGTAGGACTCCATCTCCCCACCCTGAGATCATGACTTGAGCTGAAATCAAGAGTTGGACACTTAACTGACTGGGCCAGCCCCATATCCAGGAATTTATTTTTATTCATGTAATCTCAGATATATAAAAAGATTTTTCTAGAATGTTCATTGCACAGTTGACCCTTAAACCATGCAGGGGTTAGGAGCACTGACTCCTACACAGTTGAAAATTCACATATAACTTTTGATTTCCCCAAAAACTTAACTATTAACAGCCAACTGTTGACCCGAAGCCTTACTGATACACATTTGATTCAACAGATATTTTGTATATGTATTATATATTGTATTCTTATAATAAGATAAATTTTTTTTATAATCTTCTTTTTTTAAAGATTTATTTATTTATTCACGAGAGACACAGAGAGAGAGAGGCAGAGTCACAGGCAGAGGGAGAAGCAGGCTCCATGCAGGGAGCCCGACATGGGACTCGATCCAGGGTCTCTAGGATCATGCCCTGGGCTGAAGGTGGCGCTAAACCGCTGAGCCACCAGGGCTGCCCCAATAATCTTTTTTTTTTTTTTTTTTTTTTAAAGAAAATGTTATTATGGGGGCACCTGGCTGGCTCAGTTTGACGATAGAGCATTGGACTCTTGATCTCCAGGTTGTGGGTTTGAATCCCATGTTGGGTGTAAAGATTACTTAAAAACAGAATTTTTTAAAGATTTGATTTATTTAGTTGAGAGAAAGAGTATAAGAAGAGGGAGAAGGTAAAGCAAACACCCGGCTGAGCAGAGAGCTGATATGCGGCTAGATCCCAGGACCCTGGGATCGGGACCTGAGCCAAAGGCAGATACTTAACCAACTAAGCCACCCAGGCATCCCAAAAATGAAATCTTTAAAAAAAAAAAAAATGTTACTAAGAAAGAGAAAATACATTTACAGTATTATGCTGTATTTACAGGAAAAAACTTACTTGTAAGTGACCTGCACAGTTCAAACCCATGTTGTTCAATTGTTGTACCCAAAATTGAAATTTGGTTGTTAGAGTAATCCAAAAAGGGAGGGATTCAGGATAACAGCTTTAATGAGAAAATATTTTAAGGTTTTGTGTTATCAAAAAGTTTAATAAACCAATTTTTATTTTCAGTTAATGTGTTTAGGAATAGGAGATTGTATACTAAATTAATTTAAAAATATCTTAAAAAATAAAAATCAAAAAGTAAAAATATCTATAATCCCTTTAAAGTAAGTTTAATTTTTAAAATTTCTACTATGCTATTTAGCTATATCTTATAACCTAGTCTTTTGATAGATTTTAAGTTTAGATTGGGAAATTATTTGTTTAAAATCTTAAGATCAGAAGGTAATGATAGACATATAGTTTTCATTTTTAGTACATTAACCATTGGTCATATAACATCCCAATTTCCTCCACAATAAAAATGGGAAACTATTTTGTGGAAATAATTTTATATAAATATGAATTTAATGCTTGTTTCATCTTTCTTACCTTTCAGAATTACCATGAAATTATGACTCGTCATCCTGAGAATTATCAGTGGGAAAACTGGAGTCTAGAAAATGTTGCCACCATTTTAGCCCACCGGTTCCCCAATAGTTATATTTGGGTGATAAAGTGCTCGCGAATGCATTTGCACAAATTCAGCTGCTATGACAATTTTGTGAAAAGTAATATGTTTGGTGCTCCAGAACACAATACTGACTTTGGAGCTTTTAAGCACCTTTATATGTTATTAGTTAATGCTTTTAACTTAAGTCAGAACAGTCTGATATCAAAGAAGAATGTAAAAGATTTGAATAAGGACTCCAAAGCATCTAATTGTAGATCCAGTTCTCACACTACTAATGGTTGCCAGGGAGAAAAAGAGAGGACCTGTGAAGAATTTGATGAGTCCACCCTGAGTTTTTACCCACCATCACTAAATGGTGCTTCTTTTACTTTGATTGGATTCAGTAAAGGTTGTGTTGTTTTGAATCAATTGCTTTTTGAATTAAAAGAAGCCAAGAAAGACAAGAACATAGATGCTTTTATCAGAAGCATAAGAACAATGTACTGGCTGGATGGCGGTCATTCTGGAGGAAGCAATACGTGGGTTACTTATCCAGAAGTCCTGAAAGAATTTGCACAAACAGGGATTATTGTTCATACCCATGTAACACCTTACCAAGTGTGTGATCCAATGAGATCTTGGATTGGAAAGGAGCACAAGAAATTTGTTCAGATTCTTGGAGATTTTGGTATGCAGGTGACCAGCCAAATTCATTTTGCAAAAGAAGCTCCTTCCATAGAGAATCACTTCAAGGTTCATGAAGTATTTTGAGACTATAAAAGTATTAATATACTTGTTCAGTGGAAGAGCAGAAGCACTTTGGGTGTTATAAATACAGATAATAAGATATAATTCATAGATGCATTGTCAGTTTTTTGGGGGAGGGCGGGGGGAGGAAGCACACATTCCTAAAATGAGTATAATGTGCAATAGTATTCCTTGCTTGTGAATGTGAACGGTTTTTAATTTGGGTTGGGTTAGAATTAGTTCATTTGAAAAGTAAAAGATGATTTGTGATAATCCTACAAGGAGAGAGAGAAGACCCTTAAGAATGAAAGTTACAATATAGTCCTTATATAAAAGGTCTTGAAAATTGTTGGAAAATTGTTGGAAATAGTTTATTTTCTGAGTAATGTTTGGGATTAATTTTGGTGACGCTAATGGTAATTAGCTATTTGGCACTCAAAACTCCATTTCTCTTCAAGTAAAGCAAAGGCACACTGATGTTTTCCATAGTTTTGGAATTAACTATACCCTGCTTCATATGTTTTGTAAACTCATAGTCATTCTTTAATGTGCCACCAAGTATTTTTTTAAGACTCAAGTATATTTGTTTCCAAATTTCCAAGAACATGCAGTAGTGTATAGTTGTTTTTTGAAAACATTACACTTAAGCACTATGGCTTAATTTTTAATTGACAACTTTTAGATAAGTTATTTTGGAGTTTCTTGACTCCTGACCAAAAACCAGTTCTTTTGGAAAATTGTTTTAAATTGAACATAATTAGGTATATTGGGTAAAAATATGCTACAGATTTAAAATCTTTTCATCATATCAGTCTTTTGAAAGAGATCAACTTAGGTGAAATAAATGTGTAACACACTATTTGTTACTGCTCTATTGAAAAGGAGACAGATTCTAAAGATCTAACTCAATGTTTCTCCAGAAGCATGATTTTGTCTGCCAAAAGAAAGCAGCTCTCTTTGGCCAAAATGCAAAATTACATTGCTATAAGAAAAGTTACAGGGAAAGTTTGAAGACACAAATGATTTAATTTGGCTCAAAAACTGAATTTGCTTAACACTGCTACATAATTTGGGTGAGGTTTCCTTCTGCCTGTTTTTCTTGACCTAGATAAATACATTTTCAGAAACCCAAGACCTAATGAATGTCAACCAACATTGACAGCTGTGTGATTACAATAAAGGATGAACACTTTTTAATTTATTAATAATTTAGCTTTTATAGGTCATGAAATAATTAAGCAGGGAAGTAACATTGCTGCTTTCAGACTGAAAAAGAGACACTGAAGCTTAATATCTTAATAACCCAGAGGACCTAAATTTATAAAATACAGAATTAAAATGTTAATCTCTTGGTTTCTTCACAGAATTGTATTTTAATGACTATAATACATTCCAAATATTCAGTTACGAGAAATAATTCTTACTCACCAAATGCTTAAAAATAACATCCCTTAATTCTATAAAGTATAGAATTGTATCACTCAATTTTTTTAAAGGACATGTTAGTTTATATTGCTTCAGTTTCTTTAAATACATGTTTCTTTTGAGACCAAAAATTCCCAACAAAGAAACATGTCAGCCTGATTCTAGCATTTTATTACCTAATCTTAAAGTACCATGATGGATTGGATGGCTTCTTTCAATATTTAATAATCCTTGGTTAAATTCATTTGGTAGTGAATTCATAAGGTAGTGAATACACTAATGAGGGAGGAAGGAAAGGCACTTATTTTTACAGGATTAACATTTGAAATGGAAAAAGTAGGACTTCCTGCAGGATTCATTTTAAAAACCTGAGATATTTAAAAATCTAGGTTCTTTAGCTATCTAGTCATGTGATTGCTTAATTATAATTGTTATGTGTTCAGTGAATATTGAGAATAACTTACTGGACACCTGGAACTGCCACTGCAGCAAAACTAGTGTTGAAGGTAGAAATATTTTCTTGAATGAAAATATATTCCAGCTGATCCATATTCAAATATTTTAAGACTTCAAATTTGTCTTCTCTACATTTTCTTAAAAATATTGTAAATGTTAGTGTATCCTTTTAGACTGTGCCTTTGTGTTTGTGTCTTGAGAGTCAACTGAGAAGCCACACAGATAATGTGAAAGTTGTTACCGCCACAGCATGAATGTACAATTGTATTAAATTTAATCCAGAGAAGTCTGTTTGGATGTGCTTTATGTTACTAGATTTGTTAAAACTTCAGATTGTTACTTGGAAGAAAGCTATTTCTTCTACTTTGCCAGTTTAGGTTTGTATGTTTTCATTAATCCTCCATGTTTTTTCTTTCATATGAGCAATGTTGAACCTCTCCTTGTAAATTATTTTTCTCTCCTTTAAATTGCCCCACAAGAATTCACTTTATTTTCATATCTTCTGTTAAATTTCTTGAAGAAAATTACTCAAAAATAAGTTTTTCCTTCTATGTGCTAATCATTTCAGGTGTCTATTCCTTTTGCTGTCATTAAGAGACTTACTTAGAATATGGTGTGATCTGTTTTTCATTTCATTCATGTAATACCTAAGCACCCAGGGCAAGGGCAAGAATGGTCTAGGCACAGACAAAACAATCCCAAGCATTTGAGTATAGAAATGTGTAATAGACTAAGACTTAAAAGCAACAATATGAAACAAAATGTAGTATTCCTAAAATAGCTATTCTGTTATACTTAAGGGTCCTTAAGAGAAACATGTTTTAGAGGGTAAGATATACATGTAGATAGATGTCATCTGTAAATTCAGGTTGGTCTTTACAATGGTAGAGAGACCTAGCAGTTCTTAGTGGTAGAGACAGGCAGTCACTTAGGATGGTCATTTTAGTATCCCATCTAATGGAACTTTAAAAAAATAGAATATAACTTAGGTGTATTTAAAACACCCAACACTTAGGGACTGTATGCTTGAAACAAGACTTTAAGGTAATACCAGAGATGTGTGGGTGACTGCCAATCTACATTAGTTCTTCCTCACTACATCTGTGTTTTAGCACTGGAGGGAAGGAGTCAGTAGCACAGTTCCAACTCCATCCAGACCTGCATTCCAGCTTTCTTCTTTTTTTTTTTGTCAACTTAGATTCAGCTTAGATGTCTGTTGGCAACTTTAGATAGGTGAGAGAAAAGCCTCCCTACTAAGGTTCTTTCCAAATGTTCACATAGCTGCTGTTCAAAAGGATAGAAAGATACAAAATAAGCCTTGTTGACTTTATTTCCCTTTTAAAAAATGACAAGTTTTAATTACTGAATAGAATTCCAATGTAATTATATGCCGAGACAAACACTGTTAATGTTCACGAAAAACTAATTAGTCTACACATGTATTTCAAAAAGTTACTTTGAAAGAATAATAGAAGGGCAGAAAAAATACACAACTGCAGATTCTAGTCTGCCCACCTAACTTGTCTAACTTCTCAGAGGCAATCACCCTCAAGGGTTTCTTGCATATTTTAGTTAATTCTATGCATACACGAATGTTTATACCTTTGTTTTACACAAATGGCAGCATACCATACCTATAGTTTGCAACTTTTTTCTCATTTAATCACCTTGGAAAAATTTCTTGCCAGTGCCACAATACTTCTGTCTCATTCTTTTCATAGTGTTCCATTTTTATAGAACTCTGCTACTTGTTCATTAATCTTATTTTGTATCCCTTTGTCTTACTTTGTATCTTTTGTCTGTGTGGTACAGTGAGTTTTGCTGACAGAGGAAAAAAATTCTTTTGTGAATCAAGTCAAGCCCCTAAGCTGTAGCCAAAGAATAACAAAGATGAGCTGCACCTAAGGGAGAAAGCATGGAGAATTACTGATCTGGTCACAACGTGATTGTAGGTTCCATCCCCCAGCTGTGTAAGCCTGGACACTCCCTTAAGCAATCTGGATTGATGAAGTGATTTCTAAGATCCTTTTCAGCAATAAAGTTCTAAGATTTGGAATTCCTGAGAAGTTGCAGCTAACACATACTGCTTAATATTTTAAAGTTTTAACATTGAAAACATCTCATTTGGTCTCAATCAGGTCAGCTAAAAAGATAAAAATGTTTTGAATTTAAAATAAACTCTTAACATCAGAAATTATGACCAAGGAAATAATTTTAAAACTTCCTAAAGGGTTTACTTTCTAGTTTTCTAGATAGAATTTAACTGCAACGAGAGCCATCTCAAATCAGAAAGCTAGCATCAGCTCTCAACTGTCCGTGCCCTGAATTACCTCTTTGTAGTTTTGCAGCAACCCTATAAAGTACAAGTTTAAAGATGAGGAAAAAAGCTTCATAAAGATTAAGTTTCTTAACTTGCCTAAGGTCATCCAGTTTGCTTCCCAAATAAACTGAATTAAAATGAATATTCATTGGAAGATTATAATCTCAGTTTTAACTTCAAGTTTTCTACATGATTCTGGATATATACTTTGCACCAATTCTCTTAATGGCTTAAAAGAAAAAAAAAAGTTTATCTAAAAGCTGACTATAAGTACTGTTCAAACTAACAGAGGTTTTGTCTTTTTTTTTTTCTTCCCAAGGGAAAAGCAATCATTAAAGAATTTCTTTGCTTAATGTAAGTAACCAAAAATGAAAAAAAATCTAACAATCTGGCTAAAGTAACTTCCTTTTCTAACAGACCATCTTTACACTTTTTTTGACCTGAGTAACTTCAGTATCTCTTCCTAAAGACACCTAGGAAGGAGAGTTATTTTTCATATACTTTTCCTTTTTTATTTATTGTAATCTGCTTTTTATATCTGAAATTAATCCAACTCCAAAAACAAGATATGGATGAATTATTTTAAGAGAAAATTATTTTCTCCATAATTTAAAATGCACCAACTTGATGCACTCAGATTGCTTTAGATGAGCACATCTGTGTTCAGTAAATATATCTGGTCTTTTTTCAATGATGCTGCAATAGAATTACTAGGTACAAAACAAAGAATGGCACAGATCCACATACAATGGCTCATTGTCTTCAATGATGACAACATAATTGGGATCTCTCCTGTATTTGTTCTTGAAAATTTTTTTCTCTTTAGCAAAGGGTAAGTGAAAAGCATTTAGTGGGGAAAACTAATTGGGTTTAAGTTTAGCTGTAGGTATAAATTAAAACATCTGAATATTTTCTGACATTGAAAAAAAGGGGGGGGGGCAGTGAATGCCAAGAAAAACCAAGATCAGATCAAACAAACGTGTTTTGGATGAATCACAAAATAATCCAAATTACTATCATCTGATCCAACTCAGTCCTGATTATACATCAAAACAACCTCAGAGGTCTATCAAATACATATACTATATAGCAAACCCCAAGCATACTGAATCCAAGTCTGCAAAGTTGGGGCCTAAACATCTGTGTTTTGAAAAGCTCAAAAAGATATAGATGTTGGTTGCTCACCTTTTCCTAATCTGAATCCTGATTTTAAAAATTATCCATGCTGATGTTCCCATGTGCCTCAGAGGGAGAGGATTCTATTTAAAAGCTCCAGGAGACCTGACTGGCATGAGTAATTTCCATACCTTTTCCCAGTGACTGTTCAGGGATGGACAGGTCTAAGCCACTTTAAATTAATGAGACCCAAGGATTTGGTGGTAAATTCTGGGAAAGCTTTTGCATATTAAAAGAAGGCCCCTGGAATCCAGCCTGACTCCTCCACTGCATGTAAATGAAGATGCACATGGCTCAAACTGCTATTGGCAATCATCCCATGACCACGAGGGTAGCCAGCCTTAGGATGATGCCAATGCTGCAGTTGAAAATGGGAGAAAAAACCCTAGAGGCTTTTGGTGACACTACTGAATCACTGGATCAGAAATACTGAAGCCCATTCTATCAGTAGACTAAATGTATAATAATTCGATACATTTTATTAAGTCATTTTAAGTTGGATTTTTTGCTATTTGCATCTGAAAACTAGAGTGGTCCTACCCAATACAGCAGTCTTTCAATCATAAAAATCTGTATTAAACAGAAACCATAAATAACAATTTCTGTTTATTTAATCCATAAGCCTGAGATTTTTCTTTCCTATTTTAACAAATAATCTAAAAAATAATTTGTTATACTCTTCCAATATTTGAACTGAACTGTATTTAAAGTTTATATTCATTGCATTCACTTCATTATTTATTCCAAGTTTTTGCTATAGGCTTTATCTTGAATGTGTAGGACCATTCGCCGTGCATAGAAGTCCCTGTATTCCTCTGGTAATTCAGCCAGTGTTTTTAAAGCTCTGTCCAAAATTTGTGCAGCTCTTGATGCTGCTGTAAGATCTTTGTTTCCATAGGTATCTGTTTTATCATAGCATTCAGATGGAAGATGCTTCCAAAAGACATTCACTCCCACTCCAAACTCTTCAGAAATTACGTTATGGAACCATAAAGCTGGAGAAAGTTTAAAGAAAAAAAACAAGTTAAAAATAAAACCTAGAGTAAAAAAAAAACAAACCAAAATGTCAGTGAAATATCACAAATTGCATATAGCCAATGTAAGAAATTCTTGTAACTAGATCCCTTCGTTAGCACACTCCTGAATATAACAGAATCATTTTAACTTTTATGAATTGCCAACCAATTTAAAGTGTCAATAACACTACTTTTAAAACCTTTGGAAAATAGCAATTTTCCCCTTTAACTTGAAAGACATAATAAAGTTATACTTGTTTTGTAAGTTCTGTAATTTGGGGCTATGTTTTGTTACTTGTTTACACTTCCTGAGTCATACAACCACATCAAGTGTTTACTTTTTTGTACACAGAACATTTCAATTATTTGAGGAGTATCTTTGACCTTTTCCGCCTCAGCACAGTACTTTTGTTCTCATATTTTTGTTCTCAAAGACCTCCTATTCAAGCTGAATTTGGTTTTCTAACTTGCTTAAATTTGCATTCATTGTAGCTTCCTTAGTTTTATATTAAGCTAATGCAATTATAAATATCTTATATTTCTTTCGGCTCCTGTACAGTAAGTGTATAAAACTAAAGCAAATATTGTGGTGGAGAGGATGAATAAGCATTATCATATGATACAGCTAATTAATTTTTCACTTCCTTTAGAACATTTATTTCTTTGTTTTCAATTGAATCTAAATGTTTTCAATCTATAGGTGCTATAGGAATATTAAAGCAACATCACAAATATATAACCAAGATGAAATAATAGTCATGTCAATGGGGTACTTGGGTGGCTAAGCTGGTTAAGCATCTGGTCTGCCTTCGGCTCAGGTCATGATCTCAGGGTCCTGGGATGGAGCCCTGAGTTGGGCTCCCTGCTCAGTGGGGAGTCTGCTTCTCCTTCTCCCTCTGTCCCCCAACCCTGCCCCAGCTTGTGCTCTCTTTCTCAAATAAATAAAATCTTTAAAAAAATACTAGCCACATCAAAAAATGTTTAATCTTGTGAATGGGAGAAAGTAAGATAAGATGCTAAATTTTAGAAACAAATTCATTCTAAGAGTGCTCTAGGAAAAACAAAAGCTTAAAATATTTTGATTTGCAAAACTAGTTTCAAACATGGATTTAATCTTAACTATTCTTTCAGAATCTTTTTTCCTTATTCAATATAACAGGAAAAAAGCTAACCATTATGTTAAATTTAAATGCAAAGACAGGGGTTTTGCTTTTATTTCAAAATACATGCAAATGTTAAGTATGTCTGGCTTTTTTTTTTTTTTTTATGTCTGGCTTTTTAAAGTAGTATACAGAGTAAGAGAAAACCGCATAGCTCTTAACCACTCTAAAGATACAAAACCAAAAAAATTTAAATAATGGCAACGCATTTAAGGACTAGTATGCTAGTTGTTTACAAAGAACTTATGAATAAGAAATTAATGATTCAATTTTTATAGATAGTTATGTTAAGGACATTGTATCAGGCCCCTTGGAGAATATAAAGATTACCAAAACATAGTTCCTTGTCCTCAAGCAATTTATAAGGCAACCCTAAATGAGATAATCATATATATTTTTAAAGATTTTATTTATTTCACAGAGAGAGAGAGAGAGAACACAAAGCAAGGGGAGCAGCAGGCAGAGGGAGAGGGAGAAGCAGACTCCTCGCTGAGCAGAGAGCCTGCACAGGGCTCGATCCCAGAACCCTGGGATCATAACCTGAGCCGAAGGCAGACACTTAACCAACTGAGACACCCAGGCACTCTGAAATCATATTATTAATACTTCTTTACTTAAAAAAAAAAAAAAAATTTTAATTTCTGTCACTGAAAAGAGGTATTAATGATTAAAATATATTAACTTAGATGTGAGAAATACGACTATATAATTGTTAATACATTCCTTTTATCTTATGATTTTTATAATCTTCAGGTATTCACTTTTGAATAATTACAGATGTTAGTTGCATCACTAACAACTAATGCCTATTTATTGTGCAAAGTGGCACTAATTCAGACCACAGAAAATAATGCACACAAAAGACATTACAGGTGTTGAGATTTTAACAATCTCTAGTCTGTTTTGGCTTTGAAATATATTTACCATTTCTTGGTAAATATTTAAGTGACATAGTTCTAAAATTTGCAAATATTTTATTATTTTTATAAAAGATCTATTTATTTATCTTAGAGAAAGATGCGGGGGGTGAAGAAGGAGAGAGAAAGGAGTCTTAAGCCGACTCTGCACTGAGTTTGGAGCCCGACGGGCTCAATCTTACAACTCTGAAATCAGGACTTGAGCTGAAACTAAGGTTGGATGCTTAACCGACTGTGCTACCCAAGAGCCCCAACATGCAAATATTTTAGAAATGATTAAAAAGAACAACTAGGTATAATCTTCTCCCAGATATAATGTAACTTGTTTAATGTCATTTAATAAGATAGAAGTATAATGTTATAAGTTGCCTTTGAAAAGCAAGACTATTAATTTTATAAGAATGTGCTTAGCATACTTTAAACAATGATATATAAAAATCAACTTGTATAGAATACATATAACAAATATACTTTTGAACTAAAACAGTCATATAATGGATGAGTGACAGAGTACAGATTTTATAAATAGGAAATGAATGAAGTCTAGAAATCTTACCAGGAATGAATAACACATCTCCAGCTTTAAGGGAACATTCATACCTTCTGGCCTTGGAAAACAGTGGATATTTAGTTAAGTCTGGGTTATCTATATCCAGGACTTCTGACTTAGTACCTGAAAAGTTCCCAAAAAAAGGATGATAGAGATTAAAGCAAAGTTAGTGTTTCTTAAAAGGTAATCACAAATATAAACTTGAAAATTTATTCTTTTCTGTACAATTATTTATTGTATCCACAGTGTAAGAACAATTACTATTCTCCTGAAACCTAAAACAATATTCAATGACCACCCCCAACCCTTTATGACTATTGACATCTATGTAGTATAATTAAAACTTAAAATTTTATTGTTCATATAGCCTATCATTACATATATACCCATGGAGAACACAAATACATGATAATTAGAAATAAGCCCTACAATGTTTCTCTATGAAAGTAAAAGATTTCTCAAAAAGAGTAACTGAATAGACTAGACTTTAGATATGTAAACTTAAAAAAAAGTACCTGATAAATATAAATACTGGGCATCTCGAGGACTGAACAGTACAACACGTTTTTTTCCTGTCACTTGTATTAAGAAGTTATCCATTACCTGAAGGCCAATAAGAACTTATGGATAAACATTATCTAAAATTTAAATAAAACTAATGGTATTCCAAACAGTTAAATGTAAATCTTATTCCTTTAGTAAGACTTGATTCACATTATCTACAACTCTTACAGAAATATTCTAATCTAACAATGCAAACATTTGTATTGTAAATGCAACTGTGCCTTTATTAAATATATTCCTGCAGCACTGCCTTAAAATGGGAAGGACTGGAAATCTGAGAACTATTTGCTCTTGCCCCACCATTCTGACAGAGAGGGTAGTTTCACCTATTTGAAGCTCCCCTTAGTTAGTACTTATTTAACTGCCAAGGAATGCTATACAGCCAACATTAGAAACAGATTGAAAGCACTTAGAAAAATTAAGTGTTGGGAAAACACAAGGTACTACTGTAATCAACCACTGCTAAACTCTTTTAATATATGGCCAACCATAATTTAGTTATAGGCATCTTGATTTCCAAATTATCTCTACAGAATTATAATCTGGCAAATTTTCTTGATGTACTTATTAATGGAGTAATCTTGATTATTTCTGCATACTCAAGGGTACACTTTATGGAAAATATTAAAAGGCAGAGTTACATAATTCTCAGCAAAGGAATTAAAATATATATGAAGCAAGATATATTCATAATTACTTACATACTGCTCCCACCTAACCATTTCTCCTTTCACTACAAACCCTTTTCTTATGTAAACCTTAACTATATAACTATGTAACAAGCATTTCTTTGACTTATTTTTAATAAAAGTTTCATAGAATTCTATTATAAATCTAGACAAAAGTGATACTAGTTAAAATTTAAAATAGTCACATAATTAAAAATATTATTTAAGTTACCACATAATTTTCTCACTATATCATTTATATAAAACCTTTAAAAAATATGCTAAGAATTCATGTCTATCTCATTTAGTTATTATGTTAAAAATCTTCCCAAGGGGCCCTCAGCTGAATTATAACATGCTTATAAAACTTAATATAGCTTGATTTAGAACGTCTTAAAAAATTATTTTATCTTTAGAAACCTACTAGGTATTGCTTTAGCTTCCTAAATTTCTCCACCCAACACCAAACCATACATAATACTATACTTTTAGTGTGTTTAAAATATTTATATGTACATACTTAATGCAAATAAAATTATAATACCCCAGAATAAATGATCACGGACAATATTCTATACATCTTGTTGCTCAAAAATATAGTGGACAGTTCACATTCTCCAGGGATGTATAATCTAAGACCTTTAGGTATCCCCAAATTCTTAGAACTGGAAATCGCTCTCCATAAACTTCTGCCTTAAACTTCACACAAAATACAATGAATCAAGACCACCACCACAAAGAAATGCAAATGTGAGAAAACTAACTAGGCTGTAGCATTAGCTAAATCATTTACTCCCGTATCATCAACTTGCAGAGCACCAGTTTTCAAATCTCATCTTTCAGCAAATTTTGCCTCCCAGATCTTTAGGGTATTCTACAGAAAGTTGAAACTGTAAATGTTGTATCTATAGATGCTAAATATCTACTATAGATTCAGATTTCTCATTTATGTAGCATACATCATAGTGGGTCCAAAGCTGTAATCCTGGCGAGCTAATTCGAAAAACACTGGAAAAGAACTGCTCCTCTTTGAAAAATTTTGGAAACTTGATATCTCCTTCCAGTAAAGGAAACTGCTTTCTGATATCTGCAACATCCTGTATTGAGAGAAACACTGTAAAAATTTTAATAATAAAAAAAAAATTTTAATAATAAATGCAGTATTGGTATAATACTTGTTTTACCTCAGGCTGCCATCAGAGCCTATGATATTAAGGAGGAATGGAGTAAAACTCTATTCATTGCTTTAAAATACTAGTTGGTGACCACAGTCAATATATGATCTTTCGAATGAAGGAATAACAGACTATGTAATAGATTGCAGATTCAACAATACTGTACAGTTAAGCTTAATATGCTTCATTAATAATAGGTTCTTCTTATTTAAGCAACAATCATACAATCGCCATCTACTCCAATATTAAGTATTTAAAATTTAGGAGTTAACAATTTTAACTATGTAATAAAACCTGTGGATTTTAATGAGGGAGGAGACTAAAAGAAGTTAAAGAACTAAATAAGGACATAATAGGAAAAAACAGAATATTACTTCATCATTTTAGGGACCAATACTTAATACTGCAGCCATATTAATTTGATTCTGAATACATGTCAAAGCTTATAATAGTGAATTACTAAATATTTTAATAATTATCTTAGATGTTTTTATTAGCTGAATGATCATCTGTAAAATACATAGTAGAAAAGATTTTTTAATTGTGTAGAGATTAGAGTAGATGACTTTAAACATCTATTAAGATACTATGGTCCTGCTTAAAATTAAAAGCTAAGTAATCAACTTTTAATAATTTTACTTTTCTTTTAAAGATTCATTTATTTATTGTAGAAAAAGAGAGCATGTGCATGCAAATGGGAGAGGAGAAAAAGAGAGGGAGAAACCTCAAGTAGACTCCCTGCAAAGCACAGAGCCTGCTTAGGACTTGATCCTAGGACCCTGAGATCATGACCTGAGTCCAAATCAAGAGTCGCCACTCAGCTGACTGAGCCACCCAGGCACCCCTAATTGTTTTATTTTTATTCAAGGGCACAAATCATTGAGAAAAGAATGGGAAAAAAAAGAAGCAGGTCGTATGTCAGGCAATAAGTACAAAAAGTACAGGGCCAGTTAAAATATATACATCCATTAGGTTTTAAGCCTTTGTTTTACATTCAGAATTCTTACCTTTCTAGGGTCTTCTCCAAGTGACCGTAAGTAGTACTTCTCATCCTTAAACATCCCGAAGAAAAGTAACATAAATATTCATTTAAAAATAACAGAAAGTAAAAGACGGAAGGAATTAAGTCTTAAAAACCTAACCCAGTTGTTTTCAAGAGAGCTCCATTTTCTTATCCTTTCTACTAATGCTCTCTGGTGGCCATATAAAGAAATGTCTTTATATGCTGCTTGTAATAATGGCTGGATCCACAAAATATTATATAAAATAAATTTGAAAGGCAACATATATCTACTACATCTAAAACACAATGCTTAATTTGGACTTTAACTTATTTAGACTCTTAACAATAAGACTTAAAAAGAATTCTCATTTGTGTAACACACATGATCTCAAGGTACTGTTGTGGCCAATAACAAACTTCTTAATATAATGCAAATGCAGAGTAGGAAATAAATATGATAATTTATACAGTAATACATTTTTTAAAAATCTAGAATGCTGCATTTTATCAAGTTAAGCCTATCACTGATCATATAAATTCTCAAGCCAAATCCTTTAGAGTCAACTCATATATGAATTAGAAATGTCATTTCACAAAAAAAAAAAAAAGAAATATGTCATTTCAGAGTAGTAAATTTATGTTGATACTTTTAAAAACTGCCAATTATTCTTCACTTAGTAGCTACAGTAAGGAACTGTCTGAATTATAACACACTACTGTTATCTACGTTTCCTCTAAGAATTAGAGAACTCAGATACGGGGTCAAGCACAAAAGCAATCCAACTCAGAGTTCTGCCTCTTTTATACATATACTGACTATTATAACACAAAATTCAAAATCCATGTTATTTACCTTAGCAACATATTTTAAATCTATGGCTAAAAATTTAAATCAACTCTCAGATCCAGTGTTTTTTTAAGTAGCATCAGATAATTTCTATAAATTTATTATTGGCTAAATAGGTTTCAAAGTATGTTTTTCAAAATTCTGAGGTTTCTTTCTTTCTTTTCTTTTTTTTTTTTTTTTTTTTTTTTTTTGCCAGTTCTAATGTTTTCGGATTGGAAAAGAAAAATGAATGGGGCAGACACAGAGATATACTGCTCAGAACCCCTTCAAGAAAGAATTTACCACTAGTGGCAAAGAGTGTGATTAACTGACAGGTGCTAGCTATGAATTCTTTCAGTTCCACCTCAGCCTTTTATTTTATGGTCATGCTCTTCTTGGGGTAGTCCCAAGCAATGACTGAGCAAGATGGTAAAAGGTCAAGACCTTGTCACCCACACAGGACTCCTCAGACAGGCAGTCTCTGCTCAGGGGTCCACAGTGAGCTAGCAGAGATTCTGCTAGACCTATGTTACTGTCTGATGGCTTCCCCCACCCAATCCACTCCTTTCCTTTCAAAAGTATTACTCCCCCATAAACCTGTCTGCACTCCTAATTCCATCTTAGCCCCTGCTTCCTGGAAGACTGAGCGGAGAGTCTAAATTCATCTTATTTACATACTTTCCCTAATTTTAAGACATAAATATACATGTGTATGCAGTTGACCTTGAGAACTTTCCTATCCAAGAGTAATGAGCAGTACAGATTTAAATAGCTGTGAAATGTCAAGTGAAGTAAAAGAAACCAAGGCAAGATAAACGATTTACATCTAAAAAGTATGGAAAGTATGTAAATAAGATGAATACACAGTTAGTTCAGATACAGTCAGTGGAATCAGTTTCAGCAGACAATCTAATCATACTGTAGACTCACAGACCTGCAGAGCTTGAGGGATCCTGGTGGTAGTCTAGTATAACCACCACCTGTTGTGAGAACGGTGAGTAGCAGCACCTGTCACAACCAAACCGGCCACCAGCCTGGCTGGCTCAGATGCAGACAACAGCTTTATTCAAAGCTTTTAAAATGTGCTTTTGAGATAACAGTGAATTTTTTTAAAATGTATTTATATATATGCCTCCATGCTTTATCTCAAGAAACTTAAATTGGATTATTTAAAATTGGACTATAATGTAAATAAGTAGAATTCTTCTGCATTTAATCCTGAATAAATGTTATAACAAATACAAAAATCACGTTGATAATATAGAAGTAGTTTTAATAGCCAATAAGATATGAAAATAAAGTTCTCCTTCAGCATTTGAACTTTATGTATCAGACTAAAGCATTTTCAAAGAGAGTATTATTAATCGGTAACATTTAGTGAGTAGTTTCCACATGTCAGGCATTGTACTAAGTACTCTACAGATTTTATTTAGTTAACTATCACAAAAACTTTATCAAATAGGAACTATTATTGTTCCTATCTCATAGATGAGTATACCGAGGCACAGAAAAATAATTTAGTCAAGGTTTGAGATCTAATAAACAGCAAAACTACATCTACGGCATATACAACCGAACCTTAAAAACAGCTATCAGAGAAGGCTATAGCTCTTGTATCTAATGTTCTTGTACAAGAAAATCCAACTAGTATATACATATTAATGCTTCTTAAAGAAAATCCATTCAAAGCAGTTACCTTTGAAATAAAGAATTCTTCATGCTTTTCTTCAGCTGCCCTCTGAACCAACTTATCAAAAGGTAAAGTTCTGAAATAAACACAAAAGAAGTCTTGGACCTAATAGTAAATCAACTAGCCATACCTTTATCAGTATATATATATAGGCTTGTTGGAGTTGTATATGACCTTCTATTTTACAATATCCATAATTTTATTATAATTATGTGTAATTCTAAATTTTCAAAATTCATTTAGCAGTGTGCTTATTTGACCTAGATTGTCTAAAATTATGATTTCAAAAATTAAAGACTTTTAAATCTATAGGACAGATGTATCCTTTTATGTTAATATCTGCCTATTCCAAGTTACTGTTAGAAAAAGGTTTCTATGGTATCTGGTTACATCTGGATATAAACAAACTTTCAAACTTGCTACTTCAAGTGTCATGGCAAAACAAATCCTGTGACTAAGGAATCGGACAAAATACTAAGTGCTATTTTGGAAGAGACAGTAGGCAAATGGTCCAGTGAAGATCAAGTCCTTCACTCTCTCACTGATCTTCCTGCCTTTTGGCACTACCACAGAACACGGAAGCCCACAACATTGCTCTCAATCTTCTTCACCACCATCATTTTAAGAATTCTGAGGAATACCTTAAGGATAATTCAGGAAAGTGACCAAGTTTTATTCTTCCTCCATATTTCTGTTCAAATGGCTATCTCCTAATCTCATTTTAAACGGGGCTGAACATCACAGAAGGAGTTCATTTCCTTTTAGAAATGAATCTAGAATCTAGAATCTCTTGAGAACCTGGAGGGCTACCATTTCTTTGGTTCCATCCAGTCCCTTCAACATTCTAGAATCAAAAGTACTGATCCCTATATGAAGTTGACAACAGTAACATCAAGACAATGAAGTCCTCAAAAGCATCTGGGTCAAAAGCCTCTCCCCACAACCGCCACTGCACTCCAGCTTCCAAACCTCTGATTAAGAGTAGTAGTCTTTTCTCGCTCTCCTTTTGTTTTAGTCCTTTCACTCTTACCACCAAATCTTTCTACTAGGAATCTGTACTGAGGAAGTGAGGAGAAAGTGTTAGCAAAAACCCTTTCTCCTTCTCTATAAGATGACCTTGGGCTTACTTTTTCCTAGCAATGTTTTTGTAGAAACCTACTGGGTTAAGATAAATGTGAATGTCTGCTGTGATATCAGTTAACCATGTTTATTGTAAAAATGAGTCTTGATTGATGAACTACATTTGGACTAAAAGGCTGATGAGTGGATTATAAGTATTTGTTAAAAAGTAAAGGATCTGGCTTCCCTGTGTGTGGTATAACTCTTGTAATTGAGTTTGTCCCTTGTAGGAACACAGAAGCTAAATTTATGTGCCATTTCATATCACTGGTTTCTGTGGACTATGTGGCTTAATTTAGCTAATATGTGTCTGTACCCATCTTTATAATCTTGTTCCCTTGGAAGCTGTCAGTTGGTGAGACAAAAATGGCTCCTGGATTGGCATAAGGAGTCCCACTGATACTATACTGCTAGTATGTGCTTTCCTGCCTTGTATCTTTTTACAAAGCTAAGTGAATCTAGTGCCAGATTATGGACTAGTGGGTCCTGTGGGCGTGAATGTCAATCTGAACTTGAAGACACTGCTGATGATTATGTAGAAGAGTGAGCATTGCAAGAGAGGAGTCTACCATCTGCTCAGACCCATTTGCTACTACAGTTTTTAGTTAATTATATCAACAAATTTACTTGGCATCTTCCTATGCAATGTTTTCCATCTCTGACCTCACCATATACCCTTCATTTCTACCAAAGCAACTCTGGAAGAGTTTGGGGAAAATATGGAAGCCTCTCACGTCCAGAGCTTCCCCTGTAATTGGTGCCGTTGCCCAGGCTTATCTTTTTATGAGGGAAAACTCAAAAGTGTTTAAAAACCTTTATAAGAACAGGGCAGATAGAGTAAAAAAAAAAAAAAAATCCAGAAGCAGAACTTGGGTGCTCTCAGCAATCTTTTTCCTTAGGAAGTGGTGCCTCTCAGAGCTTCTGTAGAAGCAAAGCTGAGAGGGGGGAAATGAGGTATGAATTAAAAGTTTTTTAGACTCAAGGTTTTATCTATCCTGTGCATGTTTCAAAAAGAAGGACATCTGTTAAATTCCATTTGTCTGGACTGGGAGACAGACGACTAGTAAGGGAGATAATATCAAAGAGGGGTTAGGATCATGGGTTCTGTGGAGTCAGGCAAATTTGGGTATAAGTTTGGTTCCATTATTTCAAGCTATATGATCTTGAGCAAGTTACTTAATATTTTTAAGCTTCCATTTTCTTAATTGTATAATTACTGAAAACAAAACTACCTCATAGATTGTTCCTAAATTAAATGATTAATATAACCTAGGATGCATGGCACAGCACCTGATAAGGTGTTCAGTAAAGAACAAATGGTGGGGTTAACAACGATACTAAACCATTTCAGCAGCATGAAAGCAGTTACCAACATTTAAAACAAGGAAAAAAATCTTCACTCTTCTGTTCCCCATTTGCAAAAGCTGCTTTGCAAACCAAGATCAGGAATGATAAAAGTATTAATAAACAATAAGAGCAAGATGATGACATGAATTAGATGATGTGACAGAGCAGTTAAGCTTATAAAAGTCAGACTGATTTACTTTTTTAAATCTATGACCAGAAGAATACCAACAGTATTCTTTCACCACACATGACTCCTCCCGTTCACAGTACCCTGATTCAGGAAGAACAATGAGAGCCACCCAGAAGAAAGAAGTAAAAGCTAAGACTTGGAAATGTATTGCTCCTCAAATATTAATAAGCAGACATGCAACTCTAAACTGAAGTGATAATGATGATACATGTGTGTAGGATTTCTTCCTTGCTAGACTCTCTCTGACCTAGATGTCTCCCTTTTTTCCTACTCCCTGGTAACTGCCAAAATGACTAAATCTATTTTTTTCTTGCACTAAGAAAATAATCTTGCAATTCTTCAGTTGCTCCAGTGAAAGGCTTGGAGAAAGCTGGGATAGGAACTATTACATAACGTATGTGATTCAAAAACAAGTTTTGAAAAGTTTATGGAACATGACAAAATAGCAAAACAATTTTAGATGAAGTTTCAATACCCATTTGTTATGGCTTTGGACTCTCTGGAAAATAAACATCATTAACGGCCGACCTAAAAATGTTCATCATTCCAGCACTTGCTTCCACCTTTTTGATTTAATAAAAAATGAAAAGTTCTTACACTTAGAAAAACTTACGGCAATTAAATTCAATTCACGGCCTATTAAAAACCAAAACTATAATGGTGGATATTCAAAGGATCAAAAACTAAGAAATGTTTTGGCAAGCTGCTATATGAGCTTGGAAAACTCTAATGAGAAAGGAATGACTCTGGACATTAGAAGCTCTATTTACTCATCTCTAAACTCTGGAAGAACAGTGAGAACTACCTTTCTTTAAAAATCAGTCTTTTGTGAACTACATAGTTTTTCAAAAGACTGAATTTGCTGGAAACTGCCCGTGCTCAGAATATAAAAATTTGTTTTTTTAACATTTTTAACGAAACTTCTGGGAATAAATAACATTAAATCTATAAGATTATTGACATCTGAAACTTTCAAGTTTGGACACTCAGCATCTTTTAACTATCTTACTTTTAAGACATCTCATCTCAAAGCATAAAATGACAACCACAAGGGAAATTAAAAGTATTTAAGGTTATTTTGTCAAAAGAGAAAATTTAATACAATTTTTTGAAAGCTATCCAAGTTGATGAAAAACTATACCAAACATAGCAACTACATGTCCTATATATTTCTGGAGAGAGCAGAAAAAGAAAACATGGGCTTACGCTTCTCTCACAATTAGGAATTAGAAAATCTTCTAAAAATGGGTGCATTAAAAATCAAAGTAAGTTATGAAGGAAAACTTCAGAATTCATTACTCTAGATAATAATTACTAAATGAGGGAAGATCAATTAATTAATAAAGCACTGAATGAGTACAGCATATCCAACATTAGAGATAATCTAACTCCAGTTCTAGAAATCCAGTTCCTTCCATGGCTCCAGAAGGTATCAGGCATACACCCTATATGAAAAACGGTCTTTGAAAATGTCTTTATATAATTGTAACAACTCAGAATTCTTGCCTTTTAAAAGCCACTCTTTAAAAATTAGTAAGCTGTTCCATGACTATATCAAAATAGCCAAAAGATTAAATGCCACACGGTCTTTGTATAATAATATAAAAATATCTTAAAGATTTTAAAGAAGTTATTTGTAGTCCCAGAGTAAACCTCAGAAGAAAATACCTATATACAAAGTTCTTACTAATGAAGTCCATCTGGGCAACTGCAGCAACATGAATCTTTACTTCTTTGCTCCCTCCAACTTGGCTCAGGTAATCCACCGTCCATTTGCTTGTACATGCCCCCAAATCAATTCCTTCCAACACTAGAGGTTTTCTCTGTAAGTTGGGAAAATATACAACAAAAAAATAGGGAAAATGAAAATATATACGGAGTTATATTTGGCAATAGAAGAACAAAAACAGTAAGAAATGATTCTTGATCCTAAGATGCTCAAACTCAAGTCTTTTGACAATTCATGCTATTAACTAAAATAGGAAGAACAGCAATGTAATATACTTAGAACAAAATTTTAACATTAGGAAAACAAATAAAAGGAAATAGTAGTACCATCATTAGCTGAGGACAAAAAAATCAACATTATTTAAAGAATTATCAGGGCAACTGGGTGACTCAGTCAGCTGAGCATCCAACTAGTGATTTCCATTCAGGTTGTGATCTTATGGGTCATGGGATTGAGTCCCGCTTCTGGGGCTCAGCACTCAGTGGGGAGTCTGCTCAAGATTCTCTCTCTCTCTCTGCCCTCCCCACCCGCATGCTTGCTATTACTCTCAAATAAATCTTTATAAATCTTTTAAAAAAAGTAGTTTCACGAGCATTATTTATGACAAAAATATAAATGATTAAAATGTATATTTTACAGTCAATATTGTTCTTAACCTTTTATTTTGATACTATTTCAAATTTGTGGAAAAGTTGCAAGAACAAAGAACTCCCATATACTCTCTACTCTGATTCACCAACTGTTAATTTAACATTTGCCCCATTTATTTTACCATTTGCTCTCACTCTGTGTGTATAGAGACAAACATATTATTAAAAATTAAATTTTCCTTGACTACTTGAAGGTAAGTTGCTGACATCATACGCCTTTGTCTCCAAAAACCTGAGTATATTTCCTGAGAACAAAGACATTTTCTTCTTAGCCACAGAATAATTATCAAAATTACATTTAACACTGATACACTACTACTACTACTTCACAGTCCATATCCAAATTTTGCTAACTGTCCTAATAATATCCCTTGTAGTTGTTGAGTTTTTTTCCTCTGAGATGCCACATTGCATTTAGTTGCCATGTCTCTCTTATTCTGTAACAGTTCCTCAGCCTTTTCCTTCCATGACCTTGACATTTTTGAAAAGTATAGGCCAGTTATTTGTAGAATGCCCTTCAATTTCAGCTTATCTGACATTTCTTTAATATTCAAGTCACCTACTTTGGGAAGGAATGTGCCAAAGAAGCAATGTTGTGCTCTTCTCAGTGTAGCATATCAGGTAGCACATGATATTGTTTTCTATTTGTGGTGTTAACTTTGATCAACTAGTAATTCCTGCCTGAATTAAGTATGCTATGATGAATGCAAAAAATCATGATTTTTAAAAATTTCATCATCTTCTATATTAACTGGCATTCTAATGTCAAAATGCTCTAATTTACTTATCTCCACTTATTAATTTTATTCACTTGGTTATAATCTACTGATAAAATGTTGATGCTCTAATTATCTTAGATTTGGCCAGGAGGATCCAAAACAAGCTGGCTATTGTGACTTTACCTGAACACTTCCTTACTTTTTAGCAAAAAAAAAAAAACCACAAAAAAAAAAAAAAAAAAAAAAACACAACACAGAATCCTTTTATACTTTTTCCATCCCAGCCCTACAGTCATTTCTTCAAGCAGCTCTGGCTTCTTTTAAAGGGAATGCTACTTAGAAACCATGATCTGGGTGCTAAGTGTGTTTATTGCTATTGAGGTATCATTACTTCTACGCTTTCTCAGTGAACAGAGCTGGGAAATACATCAAAGTCTGTGTATACTCATTTTCGCCTTTCCCAAATACGTGTACACACATACACACATAGACATACACCCCACATAGGTATATACCATATCTACTTATCTCTCTCCAAGCAGACATATATACTATATATACATTTAACGCATGTATATATGAGCCATAATACTGATACCTCCCTTCTGATCTTTTACCATAAGATTCGTTTTAATTTTTATTTATATCTCTCTTAACAGTGAGAAACTTCACTTCCATCATCCTCAATGTTTAATCAATTGCACAAATTCACAATAAGTACTTTCACAATTGCTAAGTCACATCACTATATAAAGCAAGTCTATTAACAAGCCTATTAACTAGACTGAGGACATAGAGTATTATATTCAAAAGTGACGGGTTACTTATCTTTCTTCTCCTTGTTTTTACATTCTATATTAGAATTTTAGGTTCTTAAATCATTCCTCATCCTTGTTAATTTTATTATTACTATTACGTTAGAATTGAAAACATTAATGTGATCCCCAAAGTCCAAACTATACAAAAAGGTCACACCAGTCACATTCTTCCACCTCGTACACAATCAAGCCCTATAATTAGTCTCATTTCTGGTTTATCAATCCGGTTTTTTGTTTTGTTTTGCAACAAGACCAAAAACATATATACTTCTTTATTTCCCCTTTATTTACACAAAAAGGTGGCATGTTATGTATTTTCTTTTTTTTTTAATTTAAAAATATATCCTGGAAATCACTGCTATCAGTTCATCCTTTTTTACAGCTTTGTATACCATAGTGTAAATGAACAATTTAATCAATCACTCTCCTATGCAAAGTTTTTTTTAGGTTATTTCCAGTAATCCCTAAAGTAAACTCCTAAAAGAGGGACAGCTGGATCATACAGTAAACACAGACATAGATACCAAATTCCCCTTCACAAGGGTTGCACCACTTGGCATAAAGTATTTGAGTGCCAGTTTCTTCACAGCCTCAAGTACTAGAGAGCCACAGAGTATTATTATTAAAAAGTGGCCTTCTGATTTTTGCCAATGATAGATAAGAAATGGTATTTCAGTGTGGCTTTAAGTTCTGAGTAAAGCTGAACATCTTTTCATGTTTAGAGGCTACAACTGCTCACATTTTATCAGACTTGTGGCCTTTCACACCCCACTGTTTAATTTTTAAAAGTTCTTTACATACATGGGTTTTCACAGCCCTTTTATGAAAACATGTTGCAAATACTTTTTTCCCAGCTTGTATTTTTTTTTTAAGATTTTATTTATTTTATTCATGAGAAACAGAGAGAGAGAGGCAGAGACACAGGCGGAGGGAGAAGCAGGCTCCATGCAGGGAGCCTGACAGGGGACTCGATCCAAGGACCCCAGGATCACACCCCAAGCTGAAGGCAGATGTTCAACCGCTAAGCCACCCAGGTATCCCCCCAGCTTGAATTTTATGTATTCAAATTTTAATCTTTCACTACACCTGAATTTTCAGTCACAGTTACAAAGTCCTTCCACAGATCTACATTATAGAGGAATTTACCCATGTTTCCCTCTGGTACTGTATAGTTTCTTTTTTTTTTTTAAATACATTTGCATCTCTGATCCATAACTCTTGTGTAGGTGTCAGACATAAATATAATTTTATCATTTTTTAAGTGACTATCCAGTAGTAGCCCCAGCACCATTTATTTAAAAGTTCCTTTGCAGGACTCCTGGGTGGCTCAGTGGTTTAGCGTCTGCCTTCCACCCAGGGAGTGATCCTGGGATCGAGTCCCGCATCGGGCTCCTTGCATGGAGCCTGCTTCTCCCTCTGCCCATGTCTCTGCCTCTCTCTCTGTGATTCTCATGAATAAATAAATAAAAACTTTAAAATCAAAAAAGTTCAAAAAAAAAAAAAAGTTCATTTGCCCCAGTGATTTTTTTTTATTATAGATTTGTTTTTTATTGGTGTTCAATTTGCCAACATATAGAATAACACCCAGCGCTCATCCCATCAAGTGCCCCCCTCAGTGCCCATCACCCAGTCACCCCCACCCCCTGCCCACCTCCCTTCCACCACCCCTAGTTCGTTTCCCAGAGTTAGGAGTCTCTCATGTTCTATCTTCCTTTCTGATATTTCCCACTCATTTTTTCTCCTTTCCCCTTTATTCCCTTTCACTATTTTTTTTATTCCCCAAATGAATGAGATCATATAATGTTTGTCCTTCTCTGATTGACTTATTTCACTCAGCATAATACCCTCCAGTTCCATCCACATCAAAGCAAATGGTGTGCCCCAGTCGTTTTTAACATATCAAGTTCAACACATACTAAATCTCCATATAAACGGAAATTTATTCCTGGATGTATGTGTATCTCCAGACTTTTTTATTTCTCTGGTCTATCTTTTCATGCACCTATATCACACTGTTAATTATTAAAACACGTTAAAAATCTGAAGACTGGGGGATCTTGGGGTGGCTCAGCGATTCAGCGCCTGCCTTCGGCCCAGGGCCTGATCCTGGACATCCAGGATAGAGTCCCACATCGGCTCGGGCTCCCGGCATGGAGCCTGCTCCTCCCTCTGCCTGTGTCTCTGCCTCTCTTTCTGTGTCACTCATGAATGAATAAAATATCTTTAAAAATGCTTCTTCCTCTGCTTATGTCTCTGCCTCTCTCTCTGTCTGTCATGAATAAATAAAAATAAAATAAAATAAAATATTAAAAATAAAAGGTCAGCCCAGGTGGCTCAGTGGTTTAGCGCCTGCCTTTGGGCCCAGGGCCTGATACTGGAGTCTCAGGATGGAGTCCCACATCGGGCTCCCTGCATGGAGCCTGCTTCTCCCTCTGCCTGGGTCTCTGCCTCTCTCTGTGTCTGTCAAGAATAAAAAAAAATAAAATTAAAAAAAAATCTTAAAAAAAAAAATCTGAAGACTATACCCCCTCATAGATATTCTTCAAGGTTTCTAAGCAGAAAGACCTTATTTTGGAGTTTTACTCACTTCTAAGTTTAATACATTGTGACCACAGTGCTGTTGGCAATTTTCTACTTTAGTAAACAGTGATGCTTTCTTTGTGACACATTATGTATCATATCTGGGAAGATCATGTTAAAAAAATGCCCTTCACCATGTTTCTTACAAAGCATTTCCACATACATCCCTGCCTCTCCTCAGTGCTCTACAAGCATCTTATACCAACACAGTGCTGAGGTGGAGATGGTGAGGGCAACCACAAACCACCCAGCACTAGACCAACAAATAAAGGCTTAGATCCTCTCTGCAGGTTGCAAACTCCTAAAAAACAAAAACAAAAACAAAACATTCGTGCTTTAAAAAAAAAAAAAAAAGATTTTATTTATTCATGAGAGACACAGGCAGAGGGAGAAGTAGGCCCCATGCAGGGAGCCCCACGCGGGACTCGATCCCGGAACCCCGGGGTCACGCCCTGGGCCCAAGGCAGGCGCTAAACCGCTGAGCCACCCGGGCTGCCCATTCCTGCTTTTTTCAATAGTGAGAACTCTAGCTCTCTGACCATCCTTGTAAACATCAAGCAAAATCCGTGGGGAGCGAGGGGGTCTACCATAAACCTACTTCAACCTTGCGGATTATTGTTTCTTTAGGGATCGGCCGGGCTCTCTAGTCCCAGTTTTCCTCAAGTAGGGATCCCCTTACAAAGCACTGCAGGTAAAAATACTTCGCTCCTCCTTAATATTTTCCTCTTGAGGTTTCTGTTAAAGAGCTGAGGTTCAAAATCACACACACGAAGAGAGTCCAACCCCTGCCTGCACCGTTGGAACCCGGGGTAGTTGGAATCCAGGACCGGGGCAAGCTTCCCGACGGATTCCCACGGCTTCCTCCCCTTTTGTTTTGGCTCAGTGCAGCGAAACACCTGCTGCTGTGAATCCAGCACCGCGAGCGGACTCCACGGGCCACCTTTCCGCTCGACCAGCCGGGGCGGGGATACCTGCCCTGAGCTTCCGGAAACCCGGGGCGAGAGGCGGAGGCGGCGTGGGGTTGGGAGAAAACAAACCAACCAGCCTCCCTCCCCCCCCGTTGCCATGGTAACGGAAGGAGGCCTAGCGAGCAAGGGGGTCCCCCGAAGGCCACCTTCGCAGCGGGCCGTGCTGGTCAGGCTCGCCGTTTCTCGCACTCAGCTCCCCGCCGTCGTACTGCTGTCCTGCCCGCGAACGTGGAGCTGTTCTCCCCGGAGCACGGAGCCGATGGGTCCGCCCCACGCCCCGCGCGCCCCAGCCGCCCGCTGCCTCCTCCCCATACCCTGGGCCGCAAGGAACCATTCGGAGCCGGGCTACGTGGTAGGGAGCGCCTTACCTGCGGGTAGAGCTGCTGCATAAACCGGTCCTGCGAGACGCCCTCGAGCCGGGGAACCGGGAGACGCTGCCAGGCCATGGCCGCTCACGCCCGTCCTCCTCCGAGTCCAGGAAACCTCGGTGCGCTGCGCTCCTCAGCGCGCCATCCGCCCGGAAACACGAGCCGGAGAGAAAAAAGAGGTCCGCGGAACGGCGGCCCCCGCCGAGCGCGGCTGGCTGGAGAGCTGGGTCGCGGGCGCGGAGGCCGCTGAGGACGCGGAGGCCTCTCGGTGAGACCCGGAGCGGGGCTGACTCGCCAGAGGCGGCGGCAGCAGCAGGCAGGCCCGCTTTATCGCTAGGCGCCTTCTCCGGAAGCCGCTCCGCTGGTTTCCCGCCGACGTCCATTCGGCGCAGCACAGACAGGAAGTAGGGTGAGAAGTCACAAAAATGGCGCTGGCCGTCCGCCTGCGGCCCCGCTTGCTGCTCTCTCCGCCGCCGCTGCCGAGCGGGTCCGCCGGACCCCGGGCCCCCGGGGGAGCCGACGTGAGGCCACCGTTGGCTGGACTTTGCTGCTTCTGTCGCCGCCGCCTCGGCTCCGGAGCGGCCCCGCTTCCTCGCGGGGCCGGGGCCTCGGCGCTGCTCGCTCGGGGCCCGCCGCGTCCGCTGCTCAGCCCCCCGGGCCCGCGCGCGGCCCTCTCCGCCTTCCCCGCCGACGCCCGGCGCACCTACAGCGCCGAGGAGCCGCCCCAGCCGCGCCAGAAAACCAAGATGATCATCCTGGGATTCTCCAACCCCATCAACTGGGTTCGGACTCGAATTTACGCCTTCCTAATCTGGGCCTATTTCGACCAGGAATTCAGCATCGCGGAATTCTCCGAGGGAGCGAAGCAGGTTGGTTTGCGGAGTTGGAGGTTGAGCTGTTAACACGCAAAAAGGAAAAAAAAAAAAAGGGTCCAGCGATGCGTTTTCTGCAGTTAATCCGAAGGGGGGGGGCGGTTAGGGACCCAGACGCGGAGCCCGAGGCTCCTTCTGGGGCTTCATTCAATTCAGCTTCTGCTGATACTTCGCAAGGTCGCCGAGGAGCGCGGGGTCCGGTTGCGACCGCCTGGGTGGAGCCCCCCGGTTCCTTTTTCCGTCCTACAGGTTTTGAATCCGATAGAAATGGATGCGATTCAAAGCCCATCTCTGCCGCTCAAAAGCTACCACGGCTTTAATCGTTCCTGAACGCGATTCTTCCTCTACACGGTCGAGGAGGCGGTGCCTGGCGCACAGTAGGCAGCGCGCAGACCTTTGCTGGATAAATGAATGAGTAGTTAACGATTGTTTTTGCAAGAGTAAGACAGTGCAACGGTGTAATTTGGGGGAGAAAAACAGAACTTTCTCTTTTTTCCCCTTTTTAAAAAAATGTTTTTTTATTTATTCAGAGAGAGAGAAAGAGAGAGAGGCAAAGACACAGGCAGAGGGAGAAGCAGGCTTCATGCAGGGAGCCCGACGTAGGACTCCATCCCGGGTCTCTAGGGTCACGCCCCGGGCGGAAGGCGGCGCTAAACTGCTGAGCCACCGGGGCTGCCCCTCTTTTCTTTTTTTAAAGATTTTATTCATTCATGGAGACATACACAGACACACACACACACACACAGAGAGAGAGAGAGAGAGAGGCAGAGACCCAGGCAAAGGGGGAAGCAGGCTCCATGCAGGGAACCCGACGTGGGACTCCATCCCGGGTCTCCAGGGTCGCGGCCTGGTCCCAAGGCAGATGGTTAACCACTGAGCCACCCAGGCTGCCCAAACAGATCTCTCTGTGAGCTATTTGGTAGAGCTTCCTTGCCCGTCTCCCGACCCCCTCCCTAATCCTTCCCCACAATACACTTTAGAGAAGAACCTAGGGATAAGCAGTTTTCCCCTTTCAGAGAATTTGCTGAGACCAACTGGTGGCTGATAAGCGCACAGCACCCCGCACCCTGAGAAATAGCCTTTGGCGATTCATAGCCCTGACCCCCTGCCTATTGTGTCTCTTTCCAAGGAACTGATAATTCCCCGGCCTGACCCTTGCCACATAAGGGTCACTTTAGGTCCTGAGATTATTTACGGTTTGTTTGTTTGTTTGTTTGTTTTTTTATCTGTTTGTTTTTTTTAAGATTTTATTTATCCATTCATGAAAGACACAGAGAGAGAGGGGGCAGAGACACAGGCAGAGGGAGCCCAACGTGGGACTCGATTCCGGGTCTCCAGGATCACACCCTGGGTTGAGGGCAGGCGCTAAACCGCTGAGCCAGCTAGGCTGCCCTTTACAGATTGTGTGGGTCCAGGCATTTTTTGGGAGGAAAGTCCCTCTATAAAAATTTGTTTTGGATCACCTAGAGAGTTGGTCATTCCCAAACGTTTCAGAAGTCCTAGTCTGCTTCCTAACTCAAAACTGTCATATTGCTTAAACTTGTAAGTGCAACCATTTCACAGTACTGATCGTATACTGATAGTGATATAGTCCTAATTTATTTCAGATTGTTTCTGTGAACACAGCCATTTTTATGTTTACTTGTACGACCTGTCAGTCCTAAGTTGTTTCCAACTTTGTATAATCAGTGTCGATGTTAACTCCTGGTTCCTGCTTCCTTGCATCAACTCTTGACTGCTTTGTGTGTTTATAGGAAGATTAGAGAGCAAAGGGCAAGCTTGATTAATAGCATTATAAGAGGTAAATCTCCGCTTGTGTCAGTTCTCAAAGTCTTTTGTGCATGCAGAGGTCAATTGGCACGATTCCACTGTCCGCCTCCGTACTCACCAGTGATATGTGAGCTTGTCTACCTCATAGCATTATGTAACTGTACCAGCTCATTTATGTGTCAGTAAGGAATGAAATCTCGCCTCCATGGACAGGAATCAGGCCTTAGGCCCCATATCTTCTGAACAGAGAGGAACATGGGACACTTTTTAGCCACTCTGGTCCTATTTTACCCCTCCTCCTTGCTTTTAAGTAGTATTTCCACCCCTTCATCCGCCAGTCTATAAACAGTTTTTGCCTCATCTGTCAGTTTTTGCTTTAACCATTTAACCATTGTGACTTTCAGAAGGAATGTGTCATCCATGGCAAATATTTACCAATTCCCTAAAGCCATTGATTACTTAACGTACCCTTTTATATCAGGCAAATCAGTTCATCAGCACCTAAGATTTAAGAGGACACAGCCGAAAAACCTTCTCCCTACTAGATTTCCTGATACAACTGTATCTTTCTTTGCATGGGTATAATTCTAGGGCTGGTGCAAAGACATTAGCTACTTCATCTATTCACCTGGGCTCCACTCGCCCTTTCTCCTTAAGCTAACTTCCCAGCAATAAAATGTTATCTTGGGTTGTGAATATTAAGTTATCGTTAGATCATGTTCATTCAGATTTTTTTTTTTAACCAGAGAACATGAAAACAAAAAGTCTTTTTTTAAAACAAAAGATCATATTCACTTATTTGACCGAATGAGAGGGCACAAGCATGGGAGAGCAGCAGAGGGAGAGGGAGAGGCAGTCTTCTTCCTGAGCAGAGAGCCCCGTGTGGGGCTCGATCCCCAGACCCTGGGATCATGACCTGAGCCTAAGGCAGATGCTTAACTAATGGGACTACTCAGACACCCCCAGAAAGGCATCTTAAGGATCATCATTCTAGTCTGACAATCCTTTACAGATGATAAAACAATTGGCTCCAGGATGCATTATATGTACTGTCCTGTGACCCAGTCTACAAGCAGTGTTGGTCCTCTAGTCACTAGCAGTTGAGATAGTTAAGTACAGTCTAGTCAAGCTTTTATTCATTGCATGAGCCAGAGAAATAGGTGGTCCAGTGCTAACTAAGCTTTATTAGCTCCACAGACCCTGCTTTCCATTAATACGTACAAATAACATGATATATTCCCTATTACTGCCATTAAACCACATTAATCATATACTGTATGTTTTCCTATAATCTTGTTTGCAAGATTTAGCCTTTTCTATGAAAAAGAGGGCTATTTCCTAGAAGCCTCTCTAGGCTAGACACTCATGTGTCATCCAGGCCTCATTAGGGCAGCCTGCAACAGTCTGACACTCTCTGGAGTTAATGCAGACCCCGTAGGTTAAGGGCTCAGTCCCAGATGACTGCCTCCACTTCAGATGCTACTCATAAGTATATCCATTTGGATATATGCATTTTCTCAATTTGACTGGCCAGTTATAAATTGGCCACATCGCCCTTCCTGAAGTTCGATAATTTGCTAGAACAGCTCATAGAACTTAGGAATGCAATTTACTTGGCTATTTCCAGTTTCTTAAAAAGGACACAATTCGGGAACAGCAAAATGGAAGAGATGTACAGAGAAGGGTGTGGAGCAGGGTATGGCGCTTCCATGCTTTCTGGGCACCTCACTTTCCCAACACCTCCACGTGTTCACCAACCTGAAAGGTCTCCTAATCCCTTTGTGTAGGGTTTTTATTTAGGTTCCATTATGTAGGCATGATTGATAAATCACTGGCCATTGGTGATTAATTCAATCCCCAGCTCCTCTCCCCTCCTTGAAGTCTTGGGGTGGAGCTGAAAGTTCCAACCCTCTAATCACAAGGTTGGTTCTTCTGACAACAGTCACCTCATTAGCCTAAACTCAGGTATGTTGAAAGGGGCTTATTTTAGGAGCTCTGTGCCAGGAACCAGTAGGAAGAATAAATGTGTATTTACAGCCTTATCACAATATCACATGATTGATATGTGCATATGATTGAACTTCCCTATTACATAACACCATCAAACCACATTAATCATCTAGCATTTATTTTCCCGTATCTTGCTTGCATGCGTTAGAGGGCTGTTTCATAGAAGCCTCTTTGGGTTAGACAATCTTATATTATCAAAGCCTTGTCAGAGCAGCCTCCTAATGGTTTGTTATTATCTTATCAGATCATTTGTTCTGGTGGAATCTTTGGCCACACAAACGTCATAGCTTGGCCAAACTAGAATGTAATGATTGGGTTTCACCATGATCACTATAGTCTTTGTTTCTTCTTACCTAAATACCACCCATCTTCCTCACATGAAGGCTTATTGACATATAATAGTGTCTCTGAACCCTCAGGACCTTTAAAATGTTTGTAAGGGGTCCTTAAATCCATTTAGCTATATGCATTTTCTCAGAATTCAAC